ATGACATTATTCTCCAAAACCTGTCGTAATCAAATCTGATAGCACCCATTCTAGATCCAATGACCTCATCTTATCAAATACAAGCTTCTCTTCTTACATGCCACACCAATACAACCTAAAGCCACAAACCGTGCAATCCGTGCACTAATAAGCGAAAACCCAAATGTACCCAAAAATGGAAAATGACTTAAATGAGAGAACCGTCCTACAAGCTCAACAGGTACCACCACAAGTGCAACGCTATAAAACTATCACACAAAGGAGAACCAAGACACACAAAATCTGCCCAAAGGATCATATCCCAACATAACTCCACTGCAATGCGTGACCCCATCCAAATACCGGTCCATATGAAATGCCCCAAGCCATAATGCTCAAAATCCACAACCATACGCAAATCAACAACAAACACACGAATCGTACGACCATACCCATGGTAAAATGAGTATTACAATATACCACAAATAGGAAAGACCATAACCAAGGTGAAATCAACTATTCGACACTCCAAGAACCATCTCGCTCGAATTATTGCCACAAGGCCAAAACAGAACCGTGTCATATGTGCAAATAGTTAACAGTCTCATAACCTATTGCAGCATATAAGAGCAATACATGGAACCCAATAGACACGAATAAGTTCAAATCTAACCGGTGACACATCCTTTAACAATAGTTGTGCTGAGTAAACAAATAGGACCCGATGTAGATTACACGTCCTCATTAGGCCTACCAATGGGCCCTCAAATCAACTGTGAAATTACACAAATAGACTAATAGCCCTTCAAAAGTCCACAATAACCTGACCATAACACATACTATTAGTTGTCTAACTTTGGCCATGCCTTCACAGTCTGCAACCAAGGAACAATCAGCTTCCTCGAACCCTCCCTAGTATCTAAATCCCTAGAATACATGGATCCACTATATTCGATCCCAACTTAATCACTCAAATAACTAACACATCCCTCATACACCATCATCCCATGATAATACTTCTATAATTCTCCCGTGCCACATAGCAAAATCTGAACATCAACAGTCGATCAACCAGGCGAGTACCGCACTACCAATGAAACATCCGTAAGTCAAAACACAATGCACCTTTCTAAAATACACGCTCTTCCTAGGTGATATCAAATTAGTTCCAGCATTCTTCTAAACATCTTAAATAGTCCAATACTGTCTAGAACTCATGACTTTCCTTCGAAGCTGCACCATAAACTTGTACATGCAAACCTCGATCCCACACGACGCACCGCCCCCACCATACTATCATATGAAAGTACGAGAATCCCATTATCAACTCTGAAGCACAAGCAGGATACACACTCCATTAGCCAGAAACCTTTAACTTGACCCAATCCAGGAGCAAATTTCAATGCGCAATAAAATCCTCATCCATGTTGTCCAACCTACTACCAAGTTATCCTATATCTTTGAGTTCCTTCCGAATTGCCTTAATGTTGACACTTCTCCTTGCCAGTACACCAAAGTCCATAACCAAAACTCACCACAAGATATCCCAACATGAAACCACGTCGTCCTAAAGCCCATAAGTCACTGTATTCCCTCGTAAGCACCCAAAAATACCGCATCCAAGATACCCACTCTGAAGATACCTTATGTGAACTTAAAGTTGTTCCCTTTTGACCTCTCCGATACTGAAATATAGAAATCCTAATGACAAAGAAATACCACAAGTCTCGAAACCATCCCAATATAAATCTCAGATCTTAGCCATATACAAAATACGTGAAAAATCCTTAAATACCAGATATAACTCTAGAACTTACTAGAACCTTCTCGAGGGTCATCCACCATACTTTGATCTCAAATGCCCTGCCAAAACGAGCCGAATGACATGTGCTCCATTAGCACCCAAACACCTAAAGAAGTACTCAACATATTTAAGCGACCAAATGAATTCCTTTTCTTAGCACATCACATGCACCACGAATAACAAACCTAAATCATTCCAAGATTCCCATATATTTATAAAGTGTTATACATCATGCATCCACAAATTTCCTCGCTCAAGTCATTCTCAAAACCAACCTTAGCAAGTCACGACTGATCCTCAAATATATCTTAGAATGAACCAATACAACACACGACCATGCAATCTGATCGTCGATAGTAGACTCCCCCACTTGGTTCGAAGCCACGGAACACGACATCCGATAACCCAAAAATGCCCTTACTCCAATACTTCCATAATACCATACTATAATTTGGTTAAATCTTTCATAAGCTCATGTAGCACTAATCATAACATACCTCAAATCATTTGCTAAACTCACATTTATACTCGTGACAATCAAGCCAACTTAACCAAGTGATCCAAACTCAAATTGCAACACATTTAACCCACTAGTTGAAAAAAAACTCTCCACAAAACATCATAAGAATCACACATGCGTAGACTATCCCGCAGGTGATAACTCACCTCCTTAGCCTCAAACTGGCATTTCTCTTCGATTCATCTTGGTCACAACAACTATGCAATCACTAAATCTTCCCGGGTCTGAACTCGTCAACAAAACAAAAGAATACACTTCATTATACAAATGAACAACTGAAGGATCCCTACACACCCGTAACTCAGGATTGTACAACACATCTAGAAAAAAATCAAGCACCCATAGTCCTTTTTACATCACAAGCAAACTCTTTTTTTCACATCTAAACGCATCACGCAGTCACATCATACTTGTCATGTAGCTATCCAACCACTCACTAACCATCCATCCCACTTCTATGGACTCTACCAGACATATAAGTCCAAAAGGTACATACCCACACAACTGACACTACAGAGCCCAAGCTACGGTCTGAACCTGGCCTCAAGTCCTCCAGACCGGACCATCTACACAACACAAAAAATACATGTCGCACCTCATTCACGACATCACAGGCTGTTCATGCACAACTGATACCGAGTGCTCAATATCACATATGAACGAGTGGAAGGAATCCAACGAGATACGCTTCAAGCTAAATAAATATAGTACAATAAGGAAAGAAAGATGGGATGTTTTTCCTAGATTCCCTGTAGACTCTCGAAGATAAGTATGAACGTCATCCTACCGATCTACAAGACTCCACTAGACACTTTCTCATGGCTCATAAAACCTATGAACCTGGCTCTGGTACCAACTTGTCACGATCCAAAATCCTTCTATTCGTGATGGAACCTAATCCAACCAGTTGGGTAAGACAAATAATATTCAACACAACACAAAAGAGAATAATAAGAGTAACAAACCTAACCTCAGGTTGAAAGCAATGACGAGCTCGGAGAATGGTCAGAGAATGTAACGACCCAACTGGTCATTTTGTGTATTTTAGCCTTGTTCCCCTATTTTATGCTTCTCGTATGTGTATTGGATTTTAAGTGACTTGTGGGGTTAGTTCTTTTGGTTTTGGAAAGGTTTTGGAATGAATTAGAACACTTAGTTCTATGGTTGGAAGCTTAAGTTATAAGAGTTGACCCAGGTTTGACTTTTATATTGACAACCTCAGATTCATGTTTTGATGGTTCCAATAGGTTTGTATGGTGATTTTGAACTTGGGCGTATGTCCGTATTTTTATTTGGAGGTTCCTAAGTTGATTTGGCTCTAATTATCGAAAGTTAGAATTTTGAAGGTTTGGAAGGTTCATAGGTTTGACCATGAGTTGACTTTGAGGCTATCGGGGTCGAGTTGTGGTTCCGAGACGTGGAATAGGTTTGTCATATCATTTGGAACTTGTTTGCTAAATTTGAGGTCATTCCAAATTGATTAGATGTGTTTCGGCGTGAGTGTGGAAAATTGAAAGTTTATTAGTTCTTTAAGCTCGAATTGAGGTGCGAGTTTGTACACCTCATGTATTCGTGCGTAAAAGTATGTCATAAGTCAATTGATGTAAGCTCGAAAATGAGATCATATTTGAAAGTATATAAATTAAGTTAATCATTTTACCTTGGAGGTTACAAATATTTAAGATCATGATCAACAAGTAACAAGAGGGTTGGAAGATTTATAAGCTAAACAAATCAAAAAAAATAAGTTTCGTCGAAAGTCGTCAAGTTGAAAATATTATAACCCATACTTTTGGGGTTAGAGTAGGGTGATTAGCATGATACGAAGGTGATGTTATGAGGTATTATAGTTGTATGTTAGTCGCATGTTAAGTTTTGAAGTCAAGCTAGTTATGAAACAAAATTCGACGAAAGTCGTCAGAAGTTCATAAATTTTACTAAATTTAGGTCTAATGTCACTAAGTGTTTCTCCCAATATACTTGTAGCTGCGGTGTGATCCACCCACCAAATTGAAGGTCTATGACTCTAGTATCCAACACACTAAAGAGTTTATAAATGCAACATCAGAGTTGAGAGATATTCGTATTTTCACAAGATGGCACAGACTGGTAAGTGACAAGTAGGTGCTCGCCTACTTGCTTAAATGAATTTACCAAAAAGAGGCAGTTGAGTGCGGCCAAGGGGCCCTTTATATGGGCTGATTCTATCATATTTTCAACATAATATCCTGATCAAAACATAGGAGAAAACTCCTTGCAACTCTTCTCCCAAAAGTTTGATCAAACCCTAAGCGATTTCGAAGGTTACAAGTAATTCTAGTGGCGAAGAAACCCGGACTGCTTGCTAGTTTCTATTCCTCTTTCTTATAGCTGTGTTGGAGGTTGTTTTTAGATGAAGAGGACCAAGATATAGATTGGTTGTGATCATTTCAAGGTGATTTATGCTTCTCGTTACCTTGTTTAAGCTTCTACGAATTGTAGCTCGATTATAAGGACTAGCACTTATAAGTTTTGAAAGGATTAGCATGCTGTTGTTATTACGTCTTTGCTGGGTGTCACAACCTAAATTCCATCTAGTCGTTTATGGAACCTAACCCAAACCACTAGGTATGTCAAATAACATTTAACACAACACAAATGAGAATAATAATAATCAATGAGTAAAAATAACTGAACTGCCAAAAGAAATCCCAAGGATTGGCAATACAAGCAATGAGCTACTAAGACTTTAGATTTACAAAGCTGGTATGAAACATAATTACAACATCAGCTTGAAATATACATAAACAGAACTCAAATCTAAAACTACCAAGAAAAAGTGGTAGCAATATCCGGACAATGGGAACATCTTCAATGCCAGCTTCCTTCATGTGCAGTAATATCAGCTCCAAGATCTGCATGCAAGGTGCAGAAGTATAGTATGAGTACAACCGACCCCATGTACTCGATAAGTAACAAACCTAACCTTAGGTTAAAAGCAGTGACGAGTTCAGAGAATGGTCAGAGTCTAATACCAATGGCCAATAACAAATCATAACAATATAGTGAAGACAGTAGAGGTATATAACTTAAGAGGTATAATGATCAGCTCGTTCAAAATTACGGGAAAGTAGACATGTTGTTCAAGTATAACAGTCAAAGTCCAAATCTTACCACTGAAAATTAACTAAAACATGAGTTTATCAAAATAACTGTGTTATTCCAATTTCCAAACATCAGAGAGTTTTCATTTACCAGTTAGCATGAGGAAACTACATCTCTATGCCTACAAGTCAAGCATACATGTCAAATTATTAAATGTCATATTATCGTCTAGCATGAGGAAAATACATATGTTTGCCTACATGTAAAATATACATGTCAAATAAATGATTCCACAGTGATATCATCAAGTACCCTCACTCTCAGCACACTCAAGATGCCGGGATCAATGCCCCCACTCCATCACACACACAAAAATCACTCAACAATGTGTGGGTGCCTAGTTGGAAAGCCCCTCGACAAAGCACGTGTGTATNTAACAATAAAGCCAATAAGGCTTGTTGTAGCGTACAATCCGATCCAAATATCAATAAAGCCAATAAGGCCTGTTGCGGCATGTAACTTGATACAAATATCACTCTCAAGGCACTAAGACCCACCTCAGTCATTAACCTCTCAAGTCTCAAGGGCTCACAAATCTCATATCACCCAGCCCAAATAGTACATCTTATAAAAGACCACAACAATGTGCAGTGTAACAACAAGTAAAGGACAGAAACTGAGATATGATATGCAAATAAAGAATCATGACTGAGTGCATAACTACAGTTAAGACATATAGCTCAAAACAATGGAAATAGCCTCATTAGGTCTCAACCGAAGTAATCACTTAACTTAAACATGATTTCTAACATGAATCATAGCTCAGAAATAATGAAACTAGGAGTGAAAACACGGATATAACAAGATTTGATAGCAAAACAAGTCCAATAATAGTATGAAAGTCAACTTGGATCATGATTACACTGGTTCACGATCACACGCCAGTGACCTCGCATATGCATCAGCCCAATATATCTCATATACATGGTTCCCAAGGATAATTATCCTCAAATCTAAGTTTAGATATGTTACTTACCACAAACAAGCCAAATCAAATATCGAGCAAGCCAAACAATACTCTAGAAATGCCATCTTGCGTGAATTAACCTCCGAATGACTCGAAACTAGCCAAAAGCAACGCAAAACATCAAGTAATGTTATAGGAAACAAATCCAAACGAAAAAGGTCAAATCTTTAATCAAATACTCAAAGTCAACCAAAAAGTCAATCTGGGCCCGCATCACAGAACTCAACAAAACTCACAAATTCTGATAACTCTTTCAAATACGAGTTCAACCATAAAAATTTCACTCAAATCTGACTCCAAATCAACGTTCAAATCTCAAATATTGTCTTTAAAAAAGTTAGACAAAACCCCCCAATTCCTCTTTTAAAATTCATTAATCAAATGCCAAATCGAAGATGGAATAATAGAATATAATCAAAATCGAGTAAAAATACTTACCCTAATCCATGTGGTAAAAATCCTCTCCAAGATCACTCAAAACCGAGCTCTAAATCTCAAGTTCCGATAAAAAGAACCAAAATCTCGGTTTATAAACTTCTCCCCAGCTCTTTCGCATCTGCGAACAATCGGCCGCTTCTGCGGCGTCACTTCTGCGAAAAATATCCCGCTTATGCGGAGTACACTAAAAGTTCGTCCTCTCGCACATGCGGATAAAGGCCCGCTTCTACAATAGCGCATGGGCAATCATCTTCCACTTCTTTGAAACTCCTACCTAGTCAGCATTTTCGCTTACGCGCCTTAACTTCTGCTTCAGCGATAACGCAGATGCGCCCCTTCCTTCACATTTTCGGACATATCTGACCTGCCCAAATGCGCTTAAGCGCCACTACTACGGTTTTTGCTGCTCCGCACCTACGCCCAAAGTTTCGCAGGTACGGTTGTTGTACCCTATTTTGTACATGTCAAAACAAGATTCAACTAGCGGTTTCCCAGTTGTTGATAAAAGAGAGTCGCCATCTAATATTTACAGGTATACAAGGGTGCTTGTGTTTCATTAGATCATTATTCTATTGCTTTGCTAAACGATGAGATTTATAATAAGGGTTCCTATTCTTCTAAGGGGACGGTGTTAGGCACCCCCTAAAATCTACCTGAGATAGCTCCTCGGACTTATGCTAGGTTTTTGGAAGTAAATGTCTATATTCTACTTAATTAGTGCTTAAGGTCTGAAACTATTATAAGTCTTTCTTTTAAATCTTACCACTTTTGAAAGAAAATTGTGCATGTACTTAAAAAAAGAGGTCATAGGTTTTACTAAATACTGTAATTTGTAAAAAGGATCTTTCAAATGTTCACATCTTCAAAGTTAAAAAAGACTTATGAATGTAGTTATGTTTTAAATATTTGTCTTTTGAAAAAAAAAGTGGCTTAGTGAGGTAACCATGTTATGGGTATACCTTTGAAGAATTGTTTTCATACCGAAGGTATGCCTTTTTTTTAAAGCTGAGCGAAGCTACTAGTTGCAGTTTATTAGCCGTGCTTGATTTTTATTTTTGTTGAAGACCAGTCTTGAAATGCCAGTTTAGTTATAATTCCTTTTTGAAGAACCTTATGAAAATGGTTAGCGACACTCAAGAGTCTTTTACTTATTAATGGTAAATGATCAAACTACTGCAATGAATATGGTAGATAAGCTCAGGTTCTTTCTTTATTTTACTTATGGCTTTGGTTTGCCTAGGTTCCTAAAATAATCAAAGCATAGCCTAAATATTTAACAATAGTGTTAGTATCAAATACATAAACAAATGAGTGAGCAACTAATTTTATCATCTAAAGGAAAGGAGAAAGAAAACTGTACTCGTTGAATTGGGCCAGCAAATGTTCAGGCCCAACATAATGTGCATGAATAGTGGACTAAACAGGAAATGCGACCACTCATAATCGGATGGTGGGATTTAGCTCCAGATGGGCTCGATGGGCCCAAGTCGAGTTCATGCATACAAAAGAGATGAAAACAATTAGTGAAATCCACATGAGGCCCCAACAGAATAAAATTAAAACATATAAATATGACTAAGATTGTAACAAAAAAAAAATCACAAGGCCCAACAAGACAAGACTGTAACAGACACTAATTACAATTAATGCCAATTTCTATTTGTATTAATCCTAGGAGGATTAATAAGATTTAATGACCAAGAGATTAGGATAAGGCCTCATTCATGGACAAGGTACCCTTGGAATCCCTGGCACTTTAGAGTTCACAAGGGTCTTAGGGACTCCGAGCAGTGCCTATGTCAGAGAATGGCATCTTAGCCACAAACTAGGTACCAACCCAAATACCCTTAATCACTCACACTCACTCTTCCTCAAAGGTTTAGTTAAAAATAATGTATTCACTTAATAATTAACATGAGAACAACAGCAGGTACAAAAGTTTCAAGTACACAAAGTTCAGAAGCTATGGAGAGCACTATCATGGTGCACAACCATGAACACCTTAGGAATTACACCATTAACTTTATAATTAGAACCTAGAAGGTGAAGGTCAATTACAGCAGATACTAACAATGTCCAGAGATACTCAGCATTCATTTATAACATGAATTAAAATATTTAAAGAAATTAATCACAGGTGCAGAACAAGGATATTTTCAGAGTAACCAACAGTAGACTATTCCAAGTTTAAAGATGCTGAGTTTAAGTGATCCTGGGGGTGTAGGAAGACATGCATACTAACTTCATTGGTTGTATTGGTAGGTCCAAACTTATAGGAATCCTTAATTAAGTTCACAACACTTTAACAACTATTTAGATTGTATTCATAACAATCCAAAGTTCCCACACACATGGTTGAATTCTCCCTACATCGAGTACTTATATTAACATTCTTGCTCAGACTCCCTTGAAGTGGTAACAAACAGTAGAAGTATCCCTACAGAATCAATTTTGATCTAATTTAAACTTAATAGCATGGTCTCTAACCTATCATGTCTCAACCAATGTCCAAAGTTACAGTTAAGCTTTCACAGCCAAGGATATCAACTAAGTATAGTACTACATTCCTTTAAACAAGACAAACAAAGATCAATGAGTTTCCTTAGGTCCACAAATGACAACAATTGTCTTACATTCCAGATTATATGTTGTTAAGATATTAAAATAGGTAGTTCAACTCCTTCTTCTATAGGATAGCACAGTTTTAAGTGAAGAGTGTAATAGCTTAAGCATGAGTCTTACTTGAATGGGAAAAGCAAACAGGAAGTTCATGAGCAAACAAAAGTATAAAAGCTAACCGAAGATACTCAAACATATGCACAATGATATTTCTAAATGGCTGCAAGGTTACAAATCATATCAAATGAGAAAATTGTCTAATAAACAAGTTAGTGAATTCATTACAGAAGTTCAAATCACAAGAATATGTGAGTTTTACATGCACAGGGTAGACATGGTTTCAATATCAGATCAGTTAAACAGGTAAGTTAGGTGTATGGCATGGATACTATAATGAGGGTCATTCAGTTGAATTAAAAGTGGTACAACATTACTAATCCAAGCATAGATATAGCAGGTATGACTCTCAACAAGATGTCAAGGAAACTTTGAGGACACAACATGAATTAGGCTAACAAACATAATAGTACTGCTGATAAACTCACGTAGAATTATCACAATCTCTTAGCTAATTGCAGAAGTTCAGTGGAACTTAGGTATTTTACTTTTAGGAAGCATTTATCCGGCAAAGTTTATTAAGTTGCTTAGCGCAGAATAACCACCTAACCTTGGAAAAGTCATAGATTATCAGAAAACAATTGGCTCAAATAATAAGGCTAACACATGAGAGCAAGACATGATAATTGACCACGAACTAATAAACAAAAGATAATCAACAGAAAAAGACATGATAAGCACAAAATAATACAAACAATTGAGAGAAAGGGAGGGTCAGTGTACACTGACCTTCTAAGGACTAGCAAACCAAACAAGAACCTTGTCTATCCATTTAGAAATCCAAGCTTAACCTCGAACAGTAAAGAAACTCAGAATCGGAGAAGAGAAAGTGAAAATCAGTGAGAAAGTTTAAAGCCTTTAATTCTCTTAGATGTTGTTCGTTTATTATGTTGGTGTTGTTAGGTGAGCCATTAAAGCTACTATTTATAGTGGCATTCAATGTCTTATGCTTTTAGCATATTTGAATTTAGTTAGTGGAAGATGACAATGGTCGAGATGATGATAGCAAAGTAGGTAAAATCACAGAATCAGAAGAGGGAAAAGGATTTACCTGAGAATAGGAAATGGTCGTTGAAGGTGAAGACCCATTGGACAAAGCTTGTTACTGCGTTTGACCTCTGGACATCGAATAATCATGATGAAGCCTGAGAATCCTTCATGCATACATCCTATTTGAAAGAAGATTAAGAGAGATCAGAAGACTTGAAGTTTCATCGTTGAGCCTAGGGTTTATGATTTGGGGTTTTTTAATTTTGTCGGTGGAAATGGAAAAGAAACTGGCGTGAATCACGGCTAGAAGGGACAAGATGAATGATTCGAGGTTGAATCAAGCAGCTTTGCACAAATTTGTGCAAAGATTCGGACTGGTAAGGTTTGATGGATTTGAGAGAAAAGATAGGAAAAGGGGAAAGTAGGGCGGCCTGTTTGGGTAAAATGAATTAGGATTTAGGTCTTGATAGGTTTAAAGTGAGTGAGCGAAGGGGAGCCGTTGGATCATTGTGATCAACGGCTCCGAAATTTCGGAGGTAAAATATTTTAGTAAGAAAAAAGGATGACCGTTGGATTTCCTTTAATCCAACGGCGGAGATAAATCGCTGGTGGATATTAAAATAAAAGGGGCAAATTTGGTTTAACCGTGGATCGTTAATTAGTTGAATCAATGGTCCAGATGAGGTGTGCTTCTTGTGTGAGTGGTATTGAGGAGCGACGTGGCATAATTCGATTCGTTTCCAAGGGTTGGGGAGGATCGCCAACATGGAATGAAGGGGTTGATTTTCGAATCAAGTCAGGTGGTTTTGGGTTGGTTTTGATTTAATAAATGGCCAAGTTGTGTATTAACAAGTATTTGCAATTATAGCCTTTTATGCTTTTAACCCTTTTAAAATTAACTTAATTAAACTTAATTAATATTTGTTAAATATAGTAAAAATATAACCAACAAATATGTTATAAATTGCTGCAATTAATTAATTATTCATTAAAATATTTTATTTACTCAAATTATGAAATTAATTTCGAATTATTTAAATGATAAGCGAATTTATTAAAAATCAAGGATTAATTTGTTGAACTAATTATAAAACTTGTGTATCAAAATATAGATGTTATATTAATAATTTCAAAAATAATAAGGATAATATATTTTATAATTATTTAATATCAAATTATTTATTTAATGATATTAATCACTAATTTTCTATTATATTTATAAAAATAGGTGTTATTGATTAGAAAATATTTTTAACACATTTATTGAAAATTATTAAATTATAAATAATTTAATTTTAAAAGGGAGGGTTAAAATTGGTCATCAACAACTGGCCCTCTTTGACCGGAGACGATGAAAGAATTTTCGGGCAAAGATTTGAACCAAGACCAATTTTCGTCCTGACTTTAGGCATGTATTGCAAGAATGACATATAGATTTGGGGAGGATTATGAGTTGTAAGATCATAAAAGATTAGAGAATATTTAGGGAAAATTAGGGCCGAATTCTGGCTTTGAATCGCCTACATACCTCAGGGTTAACGAGGATCGGACCTTATGTAGTTTTGGAATGATGATTTGGAGGGGGGTGATGCTTGCAAGAGTTGCCCCAGTATCGTGTTATGACGATACTGCAAGATGAGAAGATCTTGGACCCCAGAATGACCTTACGGATTGCCGTTTAATTATGAGACTTGAAGATTTGATGATTTGGAGTTCTACTGATCGGATTGAGTTGGAGTTTTGATGATTTACCTGCTTATGAGTTTGTTATCCCTCATAGCGTTGTAGCTTGGTTTGCTGCTTAGAAGAAGTTCCAAGTCGCAATATTTGATCCTGCAAAAGAAAATACACACATACCCATATATTGTAATGCAGATGTGTTAAGATATGATGTGAATAATGAGGAAATGATTATGCTTGGTTGCCGGCTAGCCATTATTTGGGATCGGGGTGACGTGATATTTGAATTTGAAGTCTCCAAGCTCTGGAGCATTATTTGGGATGTCATGGATGGGCCTTTGAAGTTGACTTGATTATTAGTCAGGTTGTGTACCGTTCCGCAACTGTCGGAGCATTAAGTCTCCACGCGATGGGAGTAGTTGACTTGAAATGTAAGATATCTCAACACGATGTAGTACATGACTTTAAATGTAAAAGCCTGTAAGCTGCAAAAATAAAACGTCAAAACATTCAAGATAAAAGAAAGAAATAAAGGAGCATGCCCGAGAGATACGCTTGACTGCGAAACTATATTGCAGCCGTCGATCGACAAAATGTATGGCAGAATTGGATGGTCCATCCTTCGATTAGCGAAGTCAGTGATGAAATTTGCAACTATCTTCTTAGAATCTGCGATATGGTGGAGTGATAGTGTGATTTGTGCGAAGTGCTCTTGTTGGTGAAGCGAACAATTTGCTATATACAGGGCTCCGATTGGCGAAGCCAGTGGCTCGCTATGTACAAGGTGCTTTGATTGGTTGAGCAGACGGTCTTCTATTACAGGGCTTCGATCAGCGGGGCTAGCGGCTCGATATGTACAAGGTACTTCGATTGGTTGAGCAGACGGTTTACTATATAAAGGGTGCTCCGAATGGATAAAAGACTTGGCTCAAAAACACCTGCGAAGAACTCGAAGTTAGCCCTTAACCATATGAAACAAATGAATCAAATAATGAAGGAAAGATAAGGGCTCATGAGATGGTAGCAGGTTCTTCATTGCTCCTAGTGTGACCTAGCATTCTTTGATTCCTATTGGTTCTACGCTTAAAGAAAAATTCTCAGTAGGAGGGGGGTGGGGGTGTTAGTTTGTGTTGATTGCAGGCCTGTCCTTGCCCCAGATCTGGTGAATTATGCCACAAAGTTCGGTAGGTGGAATGATAGTTTTCTAGAAAAGATTTTCAAAATCGTTCATTTTTATGGCAAATGTCATCGTTCCAGATTATGACATGTTCGAAAGTTCCCTTTTACACGAATGTGGTTTGTAGATGATTTGCCCTGTTGATTAAGATTCCTCGAGATGCTCCTAATAACGTAGCTTCTTGCTGTCGTGATCTTGTCCTAATCTAATAAATGCATTACAAAGGCTTTCCTAGGGCTATGACCGAACCTTTTCAGGTTGCCTACGTATCCGAACAGAATTAGGTCTGAACATAGTTCGAGGATAATAAACTGATGAATGAATTATGATGATGACTAAGCTTGACTCATGCAATCTACATATCCAAATGGAATCAGGTCAAAACGCAGTTCGATCACAATAGATGAAAAATGATGAGAAATTAAAATGAAGTGGCTGAGTCTGACTCAAACTGACTATGTATCCAAATGGAATCTGGCCAAAACGTAGTTCAATTACAATAGATGACTGAATCCGATATGGATTGCCTACGTATTCCCGCCAAAGGAAATCAAGTCGTGGCGTAGTTCCGAATACATACAAAAATAATATTTGTATTTTCTACTACAAAAGGGAGAAGGGAGAGAGACCGGACCCTACATGGGTTGCCTACGTATCCCACCGTGGGAAGTTAGGTCGGGCGTATTTTTATTACAACTAAACCCTGATTCTACTGTCTTCAAATGTAGTATCTTTTGATTACGTCTGAGTTGATGGGCTTCGTGCTGACTATGCCATCCATTTATGCTAGGATCAATGCTCCTCCCAACAATACTCGATGGACCACATAAGGACCTTTCCAGTTACGTGCGAATTTTACTTTGTCCTCTTCTTGATGGGGGAATATCTTATTTAAAACCAGCCGCCTCGGAGTGACTTGCCGTGGTTTCACCTCTCTACTAAACACGTTGGACATCCTTTTTTGATACGGCTTACCATGACATACTGCATCCATTCTCTTTTCATCGATGAGCATGAGTTGCTCCTTCCTAACATGTATCCATTTCGTGTCGTCTACCTTGGTTTCATGAATGACTCATAAAGATGGTATCTCGACCTATGTGGGTATCACAACTTCTGTACCATATACCAACATATATGGCGTTTCCCCAGTGGACATTCTCATAGTGGTGCGGTAACCTAATAAAGCGAAGGATAGCTTCCCATGCAACTGCTTGTGATTTTCTACTATCTTCCGTAAGATCCTTTTGATGTTTTTGTTGGCTACTTTAACTGGTCCATTCATTTGCGTCATGTAGGCTGTGGAATTGCGGTGGACGATTATGAATTTCTCGCAAATCTCCCTCATGAGAATGCTATTGAGATTGGTTGCATTGTCAGTGATGATTGACTCTGGTATCCTAAATCGGCAGACTATGTTGTTACGAACGAATTCTGTCACCACCTTCTTCGTGACGGACTTGTATGTAGAAGCTTCGAACCATTTGGTGAAGTAGTCGATGTCTATAGGATAAAGCGATGTCTGTTTGATGCGGCGAGTTCTACAGGTCCAATCTCGTCCATGCCCCAGGCAGCGAACGACCAAGGAAACCTATTACGTTAATCTCATCAGGTGGAACCCTGATAAAATCCTTGTGAATCTAGCAATGGTGAAACTTTGCACGTAACAGATATTATCACTTTCCATGGTCATCCAAAAGTATCATGCTCTCAAAATCTTCTTGGCTAAAACGAAACCATTCATATGAGGTCCGCATGTTCCTGCATATATATCTTCCAGTAGTCTTGTTGCTTCAGCGACATCGGCACATCTTAACAGACCCAAGTCCGAGGTCCTCCTGTACAGGACTTTCCCAATAAGGAAAAAGTGATTTTCTAGTCTTCTTAGTGCTCGCTACTAACAAATGGCGGTATTCTCTAGGTATTCTCTTGCTTCGAGGAACCTCTCGATGTCGTAGTACCACGGTTTACCGACTAGCTCTTCATCTACATGGAAGCAGTATGTTTGTTGATCTCGA